CACACTAAAGGTCTCCAGTTCGAACCTGGACTTAGACACAGTTACAATGTTTTTTTAGTTAAACTTTATAAAATTCATCCTATTGGCTCAGACACAATTAAAAAATTCATCCTATTGGCTCAGACATTGCAATTATTTATTGAGTTAAACTTTATAAAATTTATCCTATGGGCTCAGACATTGCAATTACATTATTTTTTTGTTGAGTTAAACTTTAAAATTTATCCTATGAGAAGAGTTATGAGTTTTCTCGAGTTAAAATTCAGCCTATGATTTTTTTTTTGAGTTGAGATTTAAAATTTATCCAATGATATGAGTTTTCTCGAGTTAAAATTTAGCCTATGAGTTTTTTGGCATTGACTTTTTTTTTACTGAGTTAAAATTTATCCTATGAGTTTTTGCAAAATTTCTCTTCTGGCATTGACAATTTTTTTTTTGCTGAGTTAAAATTTATCCTATGAGTTTTTGCAAAAATTCTCTTCTTTGTATTTGCAAAATTTCTCTTATTTTTTGCATTGACATTTTTTTCACTGAGTTAAAACTTCTCCCATGAGTTTTTGCACGCTCAGACATTGCAGTTTTTTACATTGACAATTTTTTTTTGCTGAGTTGAAATTTTGCTATGAGTTTTTGAACTCTTTCAAATATGGTCAATCCTTTCAAGAGCTGAAAATTCAATGGAACATTTGACGGCGAGCATGGGCAGCTGCCCGTGGTAGCCGGATGGTGGCTTTGCCGTTGCTTTGTAGGACTAATTTTAAATTTTAGAATTGCATTCTTTGTTGGACAGAGGGTGAGACATTGACAATTCTTTTTTTTTTTTGCTAAGTTGAAATTTTGCTATGAGTTTTTGCACTCTTTCAAAATTTATTGCTGAGTTAAAATTCTCCTATAAGTTTCTGCAGTCTCTATAGTATAGCTGAGCCAGAAAGATTTTTAACCCTGAGCAAAACTCAAACTATATCCAGTTCTATGGTCAATCCTTTCAAGAGCTAAAAATTCAATGGAACGTTTGACAGCGAGCGGGGCGGCTGCCTGTGGTATCTGGGCGGTGGCTTCGCCACTGCTTTGTAGGACAAATTTTAAATTTTAGAATTACATTCTTTGTTGGACATAGGGCGAGTTTATTGGCAAAACTGATAAATATTTTACTGATTGAGTTTTGTGCACGGGCAAAATTGATAACTTTTTTTTGCTGAGTTTTGTAATTGTTTTTTCGTGAGTTTTGTACGTTGGCAAAACTGACAAATTTTCTCATATGAGTTTCTGCACTCTTTGTTGGACAAATTTTAGAATTACATTCTTTGCTCGACGGAGGGTGAGTTCAAGTACATTGGCAAAAAAAATGATTTTTTTTCTTCTTTCCTCTCTATAGCTATGAGTTTTGTATATTACCAATTGTCTCTCTTCACCAAATTGCCAGTGTGTTTTTCTCTTTTATACATTGGCAATTCATTTATTTCTTTTCTCAAGCAAATTCATTTTTCTTAATCTTTTCTACATTGTCATTCATCCAAATTTTGTCTCTTTTGTTACTTCTAAACAAAGTTGAGTTTGAACTTTGATTTGGTGTGAATGTATTTTACGCCTACAACTATTTCTAGTAATTTTTTTTCATGAATTTAGAGAACTTTTAAATCCGGTTTTCACGGGTATTCACATATTTGATGTTTTTTCAGTGGGTATTCCCCATTATCAATTCAAGAGACTTGTTTATCTTTTGTGACGGTTGTTATCCCAATCAAAATTTTAAAACTTCCGCATATTTTTTTCCTCCTAATCAGTGGTTGGGGCACTTAGCATAATCTGACGACAATAGATATGCTAGAAGCCTAGAATCAATGTGCCACACAGCTCCGCCTAACAGATGCTCCCTATGGTCACTTTTACATAGCTTTTAGGACATAAAATTAGTGAGTGATTTAATATGATTTTGTTGTCTCAAACTTTAAATATATTGACATGAGGGAGTAGGAGCATGTGGTAGATGGTGATGCTACTCAACGTGCAATAGTCTAGCTAAACCAAAATGCAACAGAAAGGAGCCTCATTGAAGAAATGGCTACGAAGTTATTCTACTAAGAACCCAGGAACCAGAATTTGGATCCTCTGCCGTAGATACAGTAGCCATAAGCCCATAACTGATAGGTTAATTCGATCCATACCATTACAAATAGGGAAAAGTCTAAATTACCCCATAAAATATTGGGTGAGTACGAATTACCCCCTTAGACTCGAAAAACAGATATCTTTCATCCTCAACTATTAATATATACCGGACGAACTACTCTCCTAATTCAATCCGGAGTGGTTTTGGTTATACATGGTAGTTTAGTTGGCATTTTTTTTCTAAAAAAAGGTGGGACCACCTGTCATATTCTCTCCCTCACCCTCTCTCTTCTCCCTCTGATTCTCATCCAAATTGGCTACTAGGGGTAGCGAGCGGTGAGCGGTGGGAGGCGTTGGGACCATAGTTATTAAGACCGGACCGATAAATGAACCGATTGAGCTCTCGGTTCACTGGTTTAGTGGTCGGACCACTGGTTTGTCCGGTCCAACCACGGTTTGATTAGTAATATAGAATAAATGTTTATATAATAGCACAAGCGGTACGATGGTGGCATGGCTACCGTGTGGTGCTCTCAATCCTATGACTTGAGGTTGAATCCTCATCTCCACCAATTTTCTTGGGATTTTAATCTCCGGTTTATATAAAAACCGCTCAAGTTAACCGGTTTTCTCCGATTTTAATCCCTGGTTTATATAAAAACTGCCCAAGTTAATCGGTCAATTTTCTTGAGATTTTAATCCTCGGTTTATATAAAAACCGCCCAAGTTAACCGGTTTCTCCACCAATTTTCTTAGGATTTTAATCCCCGGTTTATATAAAAACTGCCCATGTTAACCGGTTTTCTCCTATTTTAATCCCTGGTTTATATAAAAACCGCCCAAGTTAACTGGTTTCTCCACCAATTTTCTTGGTATTTTAATCCCCGGTTTATATAAAAACTACCCAAGTTAACTGGTTTTCTCCGGCCTGATTGCATGCCCGATCTTTTAAGGGGACTGGACTGGCGGGGGCTCTGGTTCCCTTTTTTTCCAGTCGAACCACCGCCGGTGGCAAGTGGCAAGCGGTGGAGGCGCCTCCTCCTCGGCCTCCAGCAGAGACGACTGAAAGGATGGAGAGGGGACACCGCCAGGCGGCGTTCCTCATCGGCGGATGGAAAGGGGACACGACGAGTGGCGGATGCGGCTTCAGGCAGCGAGTGGCGGAGGTATCCCTCGTTGTCTATCTGGTGGGCCATGCCGTTGACCGCCTAGGACCCCACGCCGTTCCTCGTCGCCCTCCACCTCCGGCTCGCTGCTTGTGGAGCCGCCTCCACCCCGCCACTCGTAGCTCACCGCCCCCAGCCACCAATTTGGGAGAGAATCGGAGGGAGAAGAGAGCGGGGCGAGGGGCGAGGAAGAGAATATGACATGTGGGTGTCACCCTTTTTTAAGAAAAAAATGCTGACTGGACTACCACGTAGGACCAAAACCACTCCATATTGAGTTAGGGGGTAATTCGTCTGGTATTAATACTTGAGGGTGAAAGATTTCTAGTTTTCGGATCTAAGAGAGTAATTCATACGCACACAATAGTTCAAGGGTAATTCAGACTTTTCCCTTACAAATATGTTATTTCAGATAAATGTCATTACAATTCGTTTATTCAAATCGTAGTCATGTCATTGAAATTTTATAAAATTAGAACCGTGCCACTACCGTCACATTTTTCATCTTTTTTTTCTTTCCTATAAGTGGGACCCACCCGTTAGATTAATCTTCTTTCTCCCCTCTTTTCTTGGGGTCTGTTTAGATTGATGTCATTTTCAACCATACCATTTTTTTTTGTCAAAGTTACTTAAAAAATGTCTACATTTAGTTTGCTGCTAAATTTAACAAATACTTTGTCCATAAGAAATCCTGCTAAAATTGACAATGCCAAAATTTGGTAAGATTTATTTTGGCTACAATCTGAACATGTCCTTATTTTCCTATCTCCCTTCACCGCTGGTAAGGGAGGTGGCGATAGCTCCTCACTCATCGGCGCCATGGGCACCGCTGCCAAGAACAGCTGCATTGACGTCGTCATCCTCCTCATTATGGCGTTGGCCCTGTCCGCGCAGCTCGCACCTGTTAGGCCCGATCGAAATCACAGCACCGGCTGTTGCTTTCTCCTACTGCCCGACGCCTAAGCCTCCGATGCCGCCTAATCCTTAAAATATAAGTATTTAGCAAGATACTAAGTACAATGACTTAGTAAAGTGGAAAAAAATATATCTTGATCGTGTAAAGTTGTCAAGGATAATGACAGCATAATTCATGCTTTCATCTGCCTCTCCAAAAAATTGAGACACGTACATGACTTGTGTAAAAGACAAATACAACAGCTGGCGTAAGTGAACATGCTGAACGGGCTGGTGCACACGGTAGTCGGCACCAAGGCCAGCGACACATGCTGCCCGCTGCTGTCCGGCGTCGCCTCCCTCGCAGGCGCCCTCCTTGCCATCCGCCGAATTTGGCTCAACAAGTGGTGGAGATTGATGAAAAAAAAAAGAAGAGAAAGAGATGATGAAGAAAAAAATGTATTTGACGGGTGGGTCTCACTTATAGAGAAAGAAGATAGAAAACATAACGGCAGTGGCACGATTATAATTTTGTAAAATTTCAGTGACACGGCTACAAATAGACGCACTGTAATAATATTTATCTAAAATGTTATATTTTCAATGACATGGATTGAATTAAACCCTTACATCTAAACTTGCGTGTCAGTGTCTCACAATACATCAGTAGTGCTACAGACAATCTCCAGTTCCCCGCTGCCAGGAACCAATGCTGGATTGCGGGAATCAACCAAAAAATGGCTATCATCTCGGGTGATCATATTACTCGATCTGACCCGTTGATCTATAGAATGGGCGGTCAAAAAACGGGTCCAGTACTCCAGTCATGTACCAACCCTTCGTCCCAAGTGCCAACTGCGCCTGTCCGATCGGTTCCGATCCGACCAAGCCACACGTCGCCGAATCCGAACAGCTCTTCCACGAACCACTTGCCCCTCCTCACGCCCTCTCCTCGTCGGTTTCGAACCATCTAGAAGCGTCGCCGCCGACTCGCCATCTCCTCTCTAGGTCACCGGATTTCCTAGCCGGCGGCGAGCTCGTCGGCTCAGGCGGCGGCGGCGGCGGCGATGGACTGGAGCTCCGTGACTGCGGAGGATCTGGTGGACGCGCTGCGGGAGGTGGACTGGTCGACGCCGCCGCGCCCCGTCTCCGAGTTCTTCTCCCGCTTCACCGCCCCGCGATCCTACTCCAAGTGGACCAGCCGCCTCAAGTGCAACCTCTACTAGTAAGTAGTACGGCTTCTATCTCGAATCTACCTCCCACCTCTGTGCCTCTCCTCACGAATCGAAGAATGAGTGAGCTAGATTGGTTGGCCCACTGTGATTTGGGTTAAATCGGGTTGGAATAGGGGGCGATGCATGAGGTGCCAACTGTTTAGATTCATTTGGAACGATACGTTAGCTGCTGCAGAGATGTTTCACATTTAATGTGTGTAGGGCATCGATCTGAATTCTACTTTTGGAGTTAAACGTGGAATCTAGATTTGATTATAACTTGTTCTGTGAGGTGTACGTTTGCTGATAATTCTAGTTAGGTGTAGCTCACTAAATCGTGACTTGAAATTTATTGGTAGCTTGGCTACATCATGGAATTTTATATGTGAGACTTAGGGGAGTATAAAAGGTGCATAATCAAAACTTCCGTGATGTTTCCATATTATAGTAAACCACACGGTTATCCTCTGAGTGTGATACAATATTTTGTATGGAACCGATGATCAACAGTAACCTATAATCATAGAATATGTGAACAGGTACTTTGATTTTAACGTGTAAATAGGAAGGCAGCATATCGATATTATTTAGGAATAGAACCTGGAAGTTCCTCTACCATTTTACATTAGAACTTATATTGTAAATACATATTTGTTTTGTACCATGTTACATCTTTCAACAAAGTTAATTTCCAACGTTTTTGCTGGTTTGCAGCTACAGGACGAACTACTTCATCTTGATCATGTTCATTCTTGGTAGGCAGAGAGACCTCTATGTGCTGTACTCCCCCAACCCCCCCATCCCTACTATTTTTTTGACTTTCATATAGTCATCTTGTGTCTCTCTTTTTGCAGGGATGGGCTTTCTCCGGAAACCAGTTTCCATCCTTGCAGCTTTTTCAACAGGCCTCAGCATTGCATTTCTCAATGACAGGTAAGTTTGGATTCAATTGAAGGCACCGTTAGTGCTCTTGGGAAGAAAGATATTTTGCACTTTACAAGCTGTTCTTCCTTTAACCTGCAAATGTGACATTAACCCCTATTTCGCATGTCGCATTCCTTCCAACACATAAATGTTGTTTGATTTTGAATCTGCTAAGCATCTGCTGTTATTATTATCAATGGATATAGATTGGGAGACATCTGCATTTCATATTTTAGCTTAAGGGCTCATATCAGCACTCTTGCACCAGTTATATGTTAACAACTTAACACTTTGTTTTTTCTTCCCCTTAATGAAATGATACGCTGTTCTTCTATGTTTTTGAGAAAAAAAAACTTAACACTCATTAGATAACTGACAGATTTTATGCTCATATGTGTATTTCTGTAGTCAATTCCTATGTTTGTCCACTCCACTAGAAATAGTGATACTCCCACTAGAACTGCTTTTTCAAATGATTCATGTTTGATATGCAGTTTTGCAGTTACATTCAATGAGAAAGTCACAAGGACAGTCAGACAATTTTCACCACATTTAGCAGCAAAGATGAGGCCACCCTTAAGGTGGGGATCCTCTCCCCCTATTTCTTCTATAACATTCTTCTTTTTTTAAAGAGTCTCAGAAGAACGGGCTAACAACATTGCTGATATTTGCAGACCTGTCATTCGTGGCCGACCAAGCTCAAAAAGATCAATTCATATTTGTGGCCGGCCTCGATGGGTTTTTGTTGTATTATTTTCTGTCGGTTAGTATAAAGCACTGACCTCCATACATACTATTCTAGACCATAGTTTTTTTTTTATAAAAAAAACAACTAAATAAATAATGAACTCAACATATAATTTATTTTATTTTTGCAGTAAGCTGCTTCCTCTGGATGACCTCATGTAGTCTCCTTACGGTTCTGTGGGCACTAATTGTTGGTCTGCTTGGTAAGGCCAAACTTGAGGTTTAAAATTTTAAAATTGTGCATGTGTGCCTAATATATAAGTTTGTGCCTTGCAGCAACCTTGCTTCACGCCAGTTTCAGAACACCTAATCTGAAAGCACGCCTGAACACATTCAGGGAGGAATTTCGAGCAGTATGGCGGAATTATAGCGAGTTTTAAACGCCCTTTTTGTCTACCCCATGTGAGTGCCTTCATCGCTGTCTTATGGTCGAAAATTGAATCTAGCGAAGGGCTTAAAGTGCTACCTGTTCTGTCAGTGCATCATTGTGGAGCTGCTTATTGGATGTCTCTGCGGTGGTGCAATGTAGAAGGACCTACTTCAGTGTGCTTTCGAATTTCTTGATTTTCTCTGCAGATTTATGTGGTAAAAATGTTACCAAGTTCCATATCTCTGCTGCCTCTTGCGACTCTTTAATTGTGGGAGATTAAAAATAGGCATGCTATTTTCTCCAGTTTATGGATTTGGCTTTAGATTGTGGATTATTCTAGTCCCCCACCACATGGATCTCCATAGTTTTAGCTTCTGGTCCAAAACTTCTACTGTATTTTGATACATTGGGGAAGGAACAGCATGTAAAAGAGACAGCTATCCTGAAGAGAAGAAAAAAGATATTGTTGTGAAATGCCTGTTATTTTTCATCGTTCTTTTACAGTAATGGCACATTTTGTTTCACATAGGTGATTTCCATTCTTTTAGATTTCTCCATCAAAAAGCTCCTCGTAGGTTTTGTAGACACTCTCGGGGTGAGCAAATCCATCTCCTCTGATTTGCTTAACCTGTCCAACATGAACAATGCATTTTCAGTTATTACAATTCCAATACAAGGCCTACAACTACAAGAAACCCTTGGCGTATCCACTATACTTGCATTTTGTTCAATAGTACTTTTTTCTGTACTGGTTACTAACTTATCGGAAGTTCAGAACTGTATGAAGTTTATTCATCCGGAATTGCATAAGATATGAAGACAGAAGTGAAACTGTTTTCTGCACTTGAGACAGCTGAAAGGTTGGATGCACTTGCCTGTTCGATTTCAGAGAGCTTGGCACACAGTTCCTCAGGAATAGACCAACCAAACAGATCCATGTTCTCCTTCAACCTCGCCTCACTGACGCTCTTGGGAAGCACACTCTGACCCTGCTGAAGACCCCAGCGCAGAGCAACCTGAGCCGGAGTTCTTCCTAGCATCTCGGCTACCGATGGCAACACCGAATCAACGGCGATGCCCTTCATCCTGCCCAATGGAGCATACGCCTGCAAGAATCATGTGAGCAGTGAACCACAGCACAATGCTACTACTACATATCAAGTGATCGATGAGCTCAGAAACATGCAGGACTTACAGAGAGATGAACGCCACTGGTGTGGCAGAACGCTCTGAGCTTCGCCTGCTGCCAGCCCGGGTGGCACTCGACCTGATCAACGGCCGGAGGGACGCGGGCGACGCAGAGCAGATCGCCAAGCTTCTTGGAGGAGAAATTGCTCACGCCGATCGCGCGAGCTTTGCCTGAATCGTACAGCTGCTCCATCGCTCGCCAGGTGCTGGGTATGTCAGGCTTGACGAAGTTCTCTGGACTGAGCTCCGTGCCTTTCTTGATCTGAAACGGCCAATGAATCTGCAGAGATTGCACCGTTGGGCACCTGTCAGAAGCAGAGCAAAATGGCAAACCTTTCACTGTCTACGTTTACGCTGATCATGATGAGCTTACCAGATACAGATCAACGTAATCCAGCTGCAGATCTTTCAGTGTACTATCCATTGCGAGTGGGACATCTTCAGGTGCGAGGTCGCTGCACCTGCAGAGTTTGGGACGTCTTCAAGAGGAAGGGATAGAACATAATTCGAAATAGCAGAATAAACTTGCACTACTAGTAGCGTTCAGAAGTTGAGGTCGGTCAATAGAAGGAACAAGACAGCAGCAGTCAGCACCATATCTTGGAGGTGATGAAGAGGTCTTCCCGCTTGACAACCCCATCATCGAAGAGCTTCTTCAGAGCACCACCAATCTAGGAGCACACACAAAAATCACTCTCACAAGTTAAACCGGTGCAATTCATGCCAATCGAGGATAGAACACTCAACACTTCAAAGATTTGCAGGGAATAGCCTTACTACCTCCTGCTCGTTCTTGTACAGCGGCGCGCAGTCTATGTGCCGGTACCCTGCCTGCCACAGCAACTCAGCAAGTAAACTTAGAACAATATATGCATATGGATACGGGCGTACAAGTAAACAGCAAGTGTTCAGAGAGACCGACCTTGACGGCGGCGGAGACCACGTCGGCGACGACGCCGGTGCCGGCCTTGTAGGTGCCGAGGCCCACCGAGGGGATGCGTGCTCCGGTGTTGAGCGTGAAGTGGGTGGCCATGTCCTCCGGCTATCCACACGCGCCTGATGCTCTGCTCTTCCGCCGCCGGCCGCGTGCGAGACAGATTAGATATGGGGCACGTTTTGGAGTCGCTTGACGAAGGGAAAATCAGTAGTAGAAAATCAGGAGTATTGTTGAGATGCCATGTCTTTTAAAAAACGGAACAAGCTCTTCAACAGAGGCTGCGCAAACGACCGAGGAGGCGAGGACCTGTCGCGATTATAGTGTGAAATGAAATCCGAAGCACATTGAGGTGCTCAACCAGGGGTCCCGCATGTCAGTGACAGCGTATGTCAGCCGGCGGATCCCACCTGCCACCTGCAAGAGAATTGCTTTCCGCGATGCTAAAATTGCAATCAAGAACAAGTGACAATTATCAAATGAAAGGTTCGGCTTAAGAATGTTACTATTAGGATAACTAGGAAGGTGGCCCGCGTGTGCACTTATATTTTTAAAAGATAAGATTATTGTTTGTTCAGAAATTTTGTCTCATAAATTTAGGGCAAACTAAAGTTTGGATAATGTTATTTTATAATAAATTAAAGGTTCTGTTTTTCTCGAGGTATCTTAGAAAACCATTCACAAACTTTTGAATAGGGGATGGATTAAGTAATTACAACTTTTGAATCATGTTTTTTTTCTCGAGTAAATAAAAAAGTATTGCTAGTTAATTATCATACAGTCCATCTATATACATACGTGTAATAAATAAAAAATGTGAGTGCATGATACTCAAAATTCTAGAATTTTGATTAAATCATCTCATGAAGACGCATGATATAGTAATAAAGGGAGGGAAGCATATGCATGGGAAAAAAAAAGAAGAAAGAGAAAAATAAAAAAGGGAGGGGAGGCATACGTACCCATGCACGTAGGTGCATACCTATGATGAGGTGGGACCTCGTAGTATTTAGTTTGTTCTAAGATCAATTTAATCTAACGGTTTATAATATTGGACCTACCGATTTAAGTGAAAATCAAGTAACTGATACTTTGTCTTTTTTTTCTTAGAATTTCTAATATTTGCCCTAATTTATTAGAGTATCACGTGGCAGCTTGAGAGCATTTTAAGGAATTTTAAATGACTAATTAGAATATTAACTGCGCAATATATATGTATGGGACGTATGGTAATATTTGTTCCAACTTCGTCCATGTTTATATATATGTAGAGAGAAATTAATTTTGTGGCTAGCAAGCCATTAGATGTCTAATTAATAGCAATTAATTTTGACACCTATTTACAATTGTTCAGAGTAACTCTTACATATTCATCTTACGACTTCGATGATCCGTTGATCACCAATTTACTGATCACCATGACTCGCATGAAAAAAATATGTAGTACTTAAGGTTTAGGATAGCTGAAATTGATGAATTATATAATTTATGTGATAGCTATTTGAGGGTATAAACGAATGAATTGACTTCTAAAAAGTTATAATGTTGTTTAAAGAAGACACCATTTAGAAACTTGGAAAGCGTGCAAAAAAAATCCAAAATATGGAATCGGGAAAAAAAGAGAGGGCCTTAAACTCCCTTTATCACCCTTGTCGTACTAAGAGTTCTATTGATATTCGTCAATATTGCACTCACATTTATAACATAATGATTCCTTTCACCTGTACGGATAAATAGTACAAAATCCAAATACGACATAACACAAATACATTATAATTATTATGTAATCAACTCTCGGTTTCAACTTAAACAGAGCTAATTAGTGTTGAGAAAAACACAACCCATGGTGCTTAATTATTCTCTCGCTGCATCACCTTTAATTTTATTTTTATGTTATTAACAAAATTAATCATCTTCATATATGATTTGATATGTGGCAAAGCGGTAGCGCTACAGCGGTTGTGATCACCTTAGATGTCTTAGACACTACGCTTTGTCACACGTGCGAAAGGCCAAGGTGCAGACGTGCGTTGTGCAGCAGGCAAAAAGAGAATTTCGGACGCTTTATTTATTAGCAAACAATAGATCCAATGATTATAATAATATGTCCACCAGTTCTACTGTAAGTGTAAATTAGTTAATATAGATTTTAAATTGTTAATATAATGGATACACAATATAATGGTGTAGACCTTATTTTGAAACAGTGCATTACCTGAGAATAATAGACCAATGTAAAAAAGTAGATCCGATAATTTATATAATGGGGCCATCAGTTTAAGTGCACGTATAAATTTGTTAATATGATATTGTTTATTTGATAGGTACACAATATAATTTTGTAAAATTTATTTTAAAATAGTGCATTATTTGAAAATAATAGTACAAAGTAAAGAGTACACCGGTTTAAATTATATGATGGTAGATTCTTTGTTTGTAAAATTATTATTATTTAAAAAATATATCCATTATATATATAAATTGAAAAAAGAAGAAAAAAGGAAAAAAAGGGGAGGAAGCATACGTACAGTACGTACGTATATACTCCACCTGCCAATGCGCGGGAGGAGGATAGGTGGAACCCATGGTATTTAGTTTGTTTTAAGATCAATTTTATCTAACGGTGTGTAATATTGGACCCACCAATTTAATTGAAAATCAAGGGATAGATGTTTTGTTTTTTTCTTAGAATTTCTAGGATTTTCTCTATTTTATTAGAGCGCCACGTGGCGGCTTGAGAGCGTTTGTAGGAAGTTTCATGGACTTTTATTATATAATAGAAGATAGATTTTTTACCAATATGTATTTTTGATCGGTAATTGTAGCAAAGTCGATTCTTATCTTTATATGGTGTCTTCTTCACCACATTTTACATCTTACTTGCTATCTTACTATTAAGCTTCTTCCTTTATGACATACAACTCCCGTCGCCCCAGGGCAACGCATCACGGCAGCACCACCCCTTGGTTATGGTTTTGGATGGGGGAACAGGTTAGAAGATGTGAAGTGCCCCTCTTCGGCCTGCTCCGCCCCGCTCCCGTGCGCCGCTTCCGCCATCACCGCTTGCTCCGCCATGGCCCACGGGCCACCGCCAAGTACGGGAGGGGATCGGGATGTCGATTTTGGTTGTGAGGGGATTTAGAGTGGGGGCAGTGGATTTGTTTGAATAGGTGAGGGTTAGTAGAGTATTTACATATTTTCTTAGTCAATTTTCTAATTTCTTGAACTCACTTTATGTGGGACTGGACATCTAAACCAGGGGTAAACAGATTATTCAGTTCGAGAAAATTAAGGGTAAAATTGTAAAGTCTACTTAAGTAGGGGTAAAATCACAATTACACCTAAAACATGGGAATTTAATAAATGTACTCTTAAAAATAAACCTAGATATGATGGAACATATTCTATTATTACGAATCTAGACAATCAGATTCAAATTCATAGTTTTAGGAGCTGTTTAGATTTGTAGTATTAAGATAGTCATATTCTATCTTAGATTTGTTTTTTATGAGACAGAAGAAATACAGTCAATATCATGGCTCAATAGAAAAGGGAAGTGCACAAACGACGGCACACCTTCGGTGCTAAGAATAAAAACAGAAAGAAGCTATAATCGTTGGTGAGGCATGGCTGAATACCAGCTACCAGCAGCAATTCAGGGTACATATATAATTTCTTTTTGTTGATTAGCCTGCTAGGCTGCTAAGTAATTTCAGCGAGGGAATTTGATGATCCAAGGACATAGTCAAACAAGTAGCACGGGAATAACGGGATAAATGATGCCAGATGCGAAGCACAAGCACCAAAATGGCATTCCAGTTTTATTCAGAGGAGCAGTAAAAAGGATTTCCAAGGGAACATGATGCTGCTGATCAAGCACTTCATTACATAGGACAGAGGAGCTCGAGAGCACTGAACCACCAAACATTAAATATGCGTAAATTTGCTAATACAATCAATGTTCAATAAGCGTGATTGGCACTGACGGAACTCCTAAATTTCCCTGTCCCAGAGCTCCTCATGGGTCTTGTAAACGCTCTGTGGATTGACAATGAAGTTGCCCCTGAGCAGCCTAACCTGAACACCATAAAACAATTAACGTCAGAAATAACTGGTGTACTGCTATATGAGTTACTGGAAGGGGTGCAAGATATTGAATTAATGAGTGAGCTGTACTAGATTGATGGCAAACAAAATACTACCACACTGCGCAAGACCTACAAAATTGTCCTGCGGCCACTAGTGAGTACTGGCAACATAAAGCCAAACCTGAACAGACAGTTTGTCATGTCACATGACATTACAATAGAAAAGCAGCAAATGTAATGAGAAATGAAACAAGTAACATAATCATCAGAGATCGAAGCTGAGTAAAAAATTGCTCAGATATTACAAATTACAAAGAGTAGCCTTGAGCATACACGTCACTGCATTATCATGTGTGATCTCTGAACTATATAATTGATGCTTGTTGCTGCGCATATGTTTCCCTGAACAGGTGTAATAAGGGATAAAAGAATGTTCCTAAGAGTATCCTGGCACTGATGTTCCAAAACAAGCAGATGCTAACAAACAATACACTAAGTTTCTACAATCTAGTATGCTTCGAGGTAAACAAATTTCTTTGGAGAGTATTTACAAGCAAATTTGTTTCCAAGGATAAAGGTTGTCATATAGAATTAAGAAACATTTTATGGAGAACTTTTGCAACATCAGCTTGCTCTCTATATATAGCCCGGTATCAATTGTTACCAAGTATCAATGTAATTTTATCCCAATCATATGAAGCAAACACTCGCTGTTAAGAAACAGTCTGTTCACATGTATGAAAAGTGAAAACATAGATGACAAATATAGGTGCTCAAAGAAAGTTGAACTAACCTGCTTAATCTCCGAGAACTTAGCAAGCAAGTCCTCTGGAATAGACCAGTCATAAACATCTAAGTTCTGCTTTATCCTTTCTTCACTCACACTTTTTGGGAGTACACTGTGACCCATCTGAATGTTCCAGCGCAGCGCCACTTGTGCAGGAGTTTTGCCAAGCTTCTCTGCAATCGAGATAATGATGGGTTCCTTAAGGACATTGCCGTTCATAAATGTTGAACCAGGTGAACCTAGCGGCGAGTATGCCTAAAAAAGGAGGAAGAAAAGGATCAGTAGGTTTCAGAAAAGGAAAAACCACAGGTGTCATTTGTTCATTACTAATATCAGTCAGAGGATTGACTCAGTTTTTTAGTATGTAGACTTACAGAAAGATGAATGCCCGTTGACTGGCAAAAGTTATGCAGCTTCATCTGCTGCCAACCAGGATGGCACTCCACCTGGTCAACAGCTGGAGGTACACGGGCTGCAGCAAGCAGGTCACCCAATTTTTTCGATGAGAAGTTACTCACACCAATGGCACGACTTTTGCCAGAATCATATAACTTCTCCATTGCTGCCCAGGTAGATGGGATGTCAGGTGGTAAGTAGCTTTCAGGTTTGCCAATGCTGGATCCCTTCTTGGTTCTGAATGGCCAATGAATCTGCATAAATATAATGGTGATTAGAAATTCTGATTAGTGTAACAAGATGCTGAAACATTTTAACAAAGGAATCTGCTAAATTAAAAGTTAACCACAGGTATATGCCCCAATTTATGTGGAGAGTATACTTCAATGTAAGTCATTCAAGGTGAACAATCGAACTGATACCAAAACAAGGAGTACTTTGTTTATTGTGGTTGCATGGATGAATGATAAAAGGAAATTGTCATGCAAATATGCAATGGACTAGCAGTCTAGCACATATAACAGAATGCTGATGATTCTGATATGGATGGCTCAGGTGTATTCCATAGCAGATTGCAGAAATTTTGCTGGACAATGTAACATTAGCTATCAATGCGCACTGACAAATGGGGAGACCTATTCTGCAGCATATAGAAATAGAGCTAGTTGCTATAGGTTGATGATGCCAATGATTCCAAAGCAAGACCTTGATGGTGGAGAGAACAGAATCAAGCAAGTCACATATTGAACCAAATTCTTAATAAAAGAAGATACGTACGAGGTAAAGATCCAGGTACTCAAGCTGTAAGTCATTCAAGGTAGCATCTAGTGCCTCAGGCACATCCTCTGGGGCATGATGATCACACCTGACAAACATACCCATCACCTCTGATCAGTTGAAGTAAAGCTCCAAGCAAGCACTGGAATTCCAATTCAACTGCAAAGACATAATTACAGGCCAATCACACATAAATTTGAGGTTACCATAGCTTAGACGTGATAAACAGATCTTCGCGTTTGACCACACCCTCTTCAAATAGCTTCTTCAGAGCCAACCCTACCTGAAAACCCAAAATGTGTTTGTTAATTGTTTGTTATATTACTTGTCTTGAAACGAGATAATATTGGACCAGGTGTAAAGCACGTGGTAGTAAGCAAGAAGGGTAAGTGCTACTTAGTTTTGAGTAGTGCGGATTATACATGCCCTAAAAGTAGAGCGGATCTGCCCCTACTTTCTTCCTTCTTTTTTGTGAAGGTGTCATCAACCTTTCTAAAGCGATTTTGCTATATCTCACTCGAAAGATTTTTTCTTATCTCTCACTCGATTTTCTCACTCAAATTTACAGTGCATTTTCTTGTAAGTTATAGTGTAATTTATGAAACTTACACTGTAACTTTTGTAAGTTACACTGTAATTTTTGAATCTTCGCATGTAAATTTTAAATTTTGTATTGGATTTGGTCTTTTTCTTGAGGATATGGTAATTTAGTGTCCATTATAGTGTTTCTTAATTGCTTTTTGCTTTTTATTATATCTATCGGATTTTAATCCAAAGATTAAAAATCTGTGTGATACGATTATAAAAATCTTTCGAAAGATGTATAGGTACTCCCTTCTAAAGTACTAATAGTTCACTGTCCATATATATAAAATGGATGAATCTTCTTTGCCAAATATAAAAATGAAGGAGTAGAAGTTTCCAAATACTTTTTTTTGTGCCTTTCTTCTGTTATTATCACCCATGTTACTAATGCAAAATTCATACGCCAATCGTTTCAAACAAGAACACGCAGAGTGATGCCCCAGTAATTCGTGAACGATTCAGAGCTTTGGAGAAACCAAGTTACCTCCTTTTCGTTGTTGTACGCACTGGCGCAATCGATGTGCCGATACCCCGCCTGCACGATCCGAGAACAGTATTACATTGATTTGCCAGACATAATAAGCCAAATGGGGGAAGAAACGAAAAAGGGGAGGAGGAGGAGGAAGCGCGGGTGAATGGGGGAAACCTTGACGGCGGCGTAGACGGCGTTGCCGACGACGCCGGGGTCGGACTGCCAGGTGCCGAGGCCCACGGAGGGGATCTTGGCGCCGGTGTTGAGCACGAAGTGCTTCGCCATTTCCGCCCCCCTCTCCCTTCCCACGGGTCTCCCACCACCTCACTGTCTCTCACTCACGCACAAGAACGGCCGCGAGAAGGAGAAGGAGAAGGAGATCGAAGCGCGCGCAGCACGGGAACCCGGCGGCGGCGGCGGCGGGCGGCGAGGTGGGAGTAGTGCGAGTGATCCGCTCGGCGAGGTTGGTCTCGACTTCTCGAGCTCTCGCCGGCTTTCCGGGGTTTCGGGACGAGGCGTTCACCGTGTTTCCGTTGCGGTGGTGGTGTGGTGTCTGCGCCAGGTGGACGTGGTTTGGCAAATTAATAGCGGGGGCTTTGGCTTAGATGTGCCATCGTGTGGATAGCTTAGCCCGTGACAAGGACAGCCCATTATGGGCGCATTATTAGTACTCCCTCCGTCTAACAGCCATGACTTTTCGTGTCCAATTTTAATCGTTTGTTTTATTTAATTTTTTAAAAAAAACTAAAAAAAATATGCCACGAGTAAAGTACTATTTATGTTTTATCATCTCATAACAATAAAAATACTAATCATAAAAAAAATTTAAATAAGACGGACGATCAAAGTTGAGCGCAGAAACTCATGGTTGTGTTTATTTTGGGACGGAGGTAGTAGATACTTCCTCCATTACAAAATATAAGGCACAACCACCCTTAACCCAAAGACCAAGAAATAATTATTATCATCTTGTAATTTGGATTATCCTAATAAATATAATGTATGCATCCAATAGGATTAGATGTCATAGTTAATTGCATGCTTACATGCATGTCTTATATTAGAAACATCTTTAAAAAAAGTGGTTGTGCCCCCTTTGAATCATAGGAATGAAAAAAACGGAGGAATAGGAAAAACATAGGATTCTCATAGGAATACAAGTGTAAAACAGAGAATTACAAAACACAGGAAAAACATAGGAATAACCATTTAAAAAACATAGGAATGACCATTTGATTGAGCTGTAGAAAAAACACAGGAATTTGAGGAGATATAAAGACTCAAAGAATTCTTAACATGAGGTTTTACCTCATGCTAAATTTTCTCCAAAACTTGCATGGGAAGAGGCATTCCATAGGAATTTCATAGGATTCTATAGGATTCATTCATTCATTTGATTCACAGGGCTATATAGTAAAAATTTCTATAGAAATAAAATTCTTTAAAATTCCTATGAATTTTCTTTGAATCAAAGGGTGCCTTATATTATGGAATGGAGGGAGTACTAGCGTGACCTCTAGGAGGAGTACGTTTTTGCGTCTACTTGCTTCAATTGTCTCTTGTCCTAACGAGTATCATTACTCGATAATAGAGGTCCTAACCACGTACTACTCCGTATTTGTTTCAATCACGTCTTTGTTATTCATTCATGTAGTTCCTCTCCGGGTTGACCTCGTGGCGTCTTGCGTAAGGACTGGTTTTTGACAATAACGTGCACCAACTGTTGGCCGCATGTGGCCGCTTTTGCCGATTCGCCGGATTCGGCCGGGGGAATCTCCGGCCTAAAGGAGAAAACGGAGAAACCTTTTTTGTCCACATCGCACACGGTGTAGTTTTGACCCCCGCCGCCCCGCGCAGCGCGAGATGCCGAACGCATGGGGACACACTCTCAGCATCCGCCGCCGGCCGCCCCGTGGTGTCACTGCCCGCGCTTCCGCTCCGCGCTCCACGAGTTCGGGTCGAGGCTGAGGCCGACGCGACACCACGTCGATAGCGTTGTGTCCGTGCGAGGCTGCGAGCTTGTCGCAACGGAAGCGTAAGCCGTGACGCGGAGCGGCTCTATCGCTGTCGCTGTGGCGCGCGCGACCGTTTCCTGTGTCTGTGTTGCCATCTCTTCACTCTTCTCGAGCTGTTGGAAGCTGGAACCGTAGGCTGGGCAGCAGCTGAAAATAATGACTCCACCCGTCCATTGGCATTCCTTGCAATGCCGAATTTACTATTTTCATTCTCATTCGCCACTCGAGTCGATGGTAAATGAGAATAAAATTTTAAGAGAGTGTTATTTAGACATGTATATTTGGAAGAATGATAAATAGTAAATTCTCATACTGGATTCTAAGGGGCTTCTTGTTGTTTATTGATCACCTGATTTTCTTAAAAAATGTAGCCACTTGTTTTAACGGTTGAGATTACTCCAAGATCTGTGCTACCCTTTATAATTCTAATCCTTACCCCTCCTCACTTCTTCCGACCAACCACATCGTTGTCGTTGCCTTCTACATCTTTCGTCCCCTAACTTATTCCTTCTTTTTCCCTAGCTAGATACATAGTAGCTCGTCTACTTCCACTACCCCCTCCATCCAAAAAAAACCATCCTAAGTAAGAATTGGATACTACATGGTGTAACAAATCGAGCACATGGTATAACGAAATCTGGACGTCACATCCTTGCCTAGGTTAGCTTTTTTTGACGGAGGGAGTACGTCTTTCAGTCTAACGTCATTTCCCCTCGCCACGCCTCCACTCTTCTATCTTATCATTGTCCCAACTTCCTAACCACATACCCCCTCCGTCCCATAAAAAACTAACCTAATACTGGATGTAACATATCCTACTACTATAAATCTAGATATACGTTTGTTCAGATTCGTTGTAGTATAATATGCCGCATCTAGTTTATTTATTTATTATGGGACGGTGGGAGTAGGCCTCCCTCGCTCCCGTCGTTGATCCCGACCACCGCTTTCTTTCATCCCCGTAGCTTTGATTTTGCCGTCAGCGTCTCACCATCCGTCCATCTCTGTCGCTCAACGTCGGTCTTTCGTCACTCCAGTCATTCTTCTAAAGTTGCTCTTACCGCCACCCACAGCCTCCCATCCCCTCCAACCCCTAAAACATTAATTCATGGGTTCTCTGCCAGAGTTCGAGAGTCACCGGCGTCGAGGCAAATGTAGAATTCCAGTAGCATCATCGCTTATCTGAAGGGACAAACAATCTATAGATCTTCAATTTTATGGGAAACTATAAACAAAATAGAAAAATAGCGTCAAGTAAATAACAAGTCATAATTGATCCCATTGGATAGATCCTACCTCCACCATCACCTCAGCTGAAACTAGTCGGTGTTAATCACTTAATCTCCCTGTGTACTTAAAGTCATACCCTTAGCAGTTAAACACTTACTGAACCAGGACTTAACAGGAGTGCCAGTTAAACACTTACTGAACCAGGACTCCACAGGAGTACCATTAATTAGTTGCTGGTATCAATTTCTGCAGGAATGCCCCGCAACACAAACACAAGCGATGGGTAACGATTCTCGCCATGTTTGTAGAGCATACGGACATCCATATCATGGCTCAAAAGATAAGGAAATAGCACAATCATACTATGCCTGTGGCACGCCTTTGGTGCTATGGAAAAAAATAGTATTCCTGAACAAAGCTAGAATTGACCTGTTTCTCACAGAGAAAAAATGTTGCAAGAAATCTTTCGTGAATAAGGTGCAAATCAAAGCAAAAGGCATGGCTGAATACCTACTACCAACAATAATTCAGGGTGACTATCAAATGTCTGTTAGCCTGCTAAGTAATTTGACTAATTTCAGTGAGGAACATGAGTATCAAACTAACGCCTCGGTACAAGAAAAAATGATGATGCCAAAGGACAAATAGACAAACAAGTAGCATGGGATAAATGATGCCAGAGGCGAAGCATACAAATGACATGATCCAGTATTATTCAGAGGAGCGCTAATACGAATTCTAAGGGAACATGATGCTGCTGATCAAGCAGGTTCATTACATTGAATAGGAGCTCAAGAGACTCAAACACCATACATTAGATAAGCGTAAATTCGTGAAAAAATAATGTTCAGTGAGAGTGACTGGCACTAACGTAAGCTGACTGCATCTAAATTTCGCCGTCCCAGAGCTCCTCATGGGTCTTATAAACGCTGTGGGGATTAACAATGACGTCGCCCCTGAGAAGCCTAACCTGAACATCATAAAACAAGAACATCAGAAATAACTGGTGCACTGTTATGAGTTAGTAGAAGGGGTTCAAGATAATGAGATACTTGATTGATGCCTTGATGGCAAATAAAATAGCTCATGGCATAAGATGTACAAAATTGTCCTGATAAGGCCAGTGGTTGCGACATAAAAACCAAACAAGATCACGTGACAATAGATGAATATAATTATAGCACATGTAATGAGAAATGAGACAGGCAACATAATAACCAGAGATCAAAGGTGAATAATAGCATTGCTGAGATATTACAAATTACAATAGCCTTGAACCTACATATCCATTTCATTATACTGTGTGTTGTTATATTATTATTATTTTAGATAATGGGAATTTATAAAACCCGGTTTCTACACCAACGGGGGTGTATACAACCACAAAGTGTGATGTTATATTCTTGACCTATATAATGGATGTTTGTTGCTGCGCACGTGCTTCCCTGAACAGGTCTAATAAGGGATAAAATAATGTTTCTATGAGTATCCTGGTATTGACGTTCCAAACCAAGTACTCCCTATGTCCCAAAATATAAGGGATTTTGGACGGATGGGACACTTTCTAGTACAATGAATCTGGATGCTAGAAAGTGTCCCATCCGTCCAAAATCCACTTTCTAGTACAATGAATCTGGACACTCATGTCCAGATTCATTGTACTAGAAAGTGTCCCAACCGTCCAAAATCCCTTATATTTTGGGACGGAGGGAGTAGAAGCTACATACAGTATACCGCTTCATTTACTTAATTACCGCCAAATGTAGCATGCTTCAAGGAAAACAAATTTCTTTGAGAGTATTCGCAAATGATTTATTTTCCAAAAGTAAAGGTCGCCATATGGAAGTTAGAAACATTTTATGGATGACCTTTGCAACTTTAATTTCCTCTATATAGCCTTCTACCAATTGTTAGCAGGTATCAATGTAAGTTTGTCCAAATCATATGCAGACACTGGTTGTTAAGAAAAAGTCTGTAGAGATGTTTGAAAACATTGACAATTAAATATAGGTGATCAAAGGATGTTGAACTAACCTGCTTAATCTCAGAGAACTTAACAAGCAAGTCCTCTGGAATAGACCAGTCATAAACATCTATGTTCTGCTTTATCCTTTCTTCGGTCACACTTTTTGGGAGTACACTGTGACCCATCTGAATGTTCCAGTGCAGTGCCACTTGTGCAGGAGTTTTGCCGAGCTTCTCTGCAATTGAGATGATGACGGATTCCTTAAGGACGTTACTGTTCATCCATGTTGAACCAGGTGAACCTAGAGGCGAGTATGCCTAAAAAGAAGAGGAAGAAAAGGATTAGCAGTATTCAGAAAATTAAAAACCACGGGACTCATTAACAAGAGCATTGACTCAGAGTAATTATATAAGTACCACAGACTTACAGAAAGATGAACGCCAGTTGACTGGCAGAAGTTATGTAGCTTCGTTTGCTGCCAACCAGGATGGCATTCTACCTGATCAACAGCTGGAGGTACACAGGCTACAGCAAGCAGGTCACCCAGTTTTTTTGATGAGAAGTTACTTACACCAATGGCACGAGATTTACCAGAATCATATAGCTTCTCCATTGCTCCCCAGGTAGATGGGATGTCAGGTGGTATGTAGTCTTCAGTGTTACTAATGCCTGAGCCCTTCTTGACTCTGAATGGCCAATGAATCTGCATAAACGTAATGGTGATCAGAATTTTTTATTATTAGTGTAACAACATGCTGAAACTATTTTAACAAGGAACCTATTAAGTCAAAGGTTAACCATAGGTATCCTCCCATTTATGTGGAGAAAAGACTTATTCAAGTTCAATATATTATGTTACTATTGCAAATTTGTCTGAATAATATTGTCAAGGTTATCAAAGTCATTAACCATATAGGTATATGTAATGATCCCAGAAGAAACCTTAGGATGAAAAAAAAATCCACCATAATTCAAGGAAAGAAGGTGAACTGATATGAACAACATAATTCTATATTAATTTATTTATTGTGGTTGCGTGGCAGGACTAAAGGAATATCTTCCTACAGACCCAATGAATGATAAAAGGAAGTTCTCGTGCAATGGACTACAGTCTAGCACATGATGATTATGATTGGATGTCTCAGGGCTAATCCATAAAAGCTCGCAGAAATTTTGCTGGATAATGTAACAGTTTATCAATGTGCATCGACTGATCAGGAGGCTTATTCTGCAGCATGTAGAGATAGTTGTATAGATTGATGCCAATGGTTCCAAAGCAAGACTTTGACGATGGAAAGTACAGAATCTAGCAAGTCACGTATTGATCCAAATTCTTAAGAAAATAAGATAAATACAAGGTAAAGATCCAGGTACTCAAGCTGTAAGTCACTCAGAGTTTTGTCTAGTGACTCAGGCACATCCTCTGGGGCATGACAATCACACCTGACAAACATACCCATCAGCACCAATCAGTTTAAGTAAAAGCTCAAGCAGGCACTAGGTAATCCAATTCAACTGCAAAGACAAGACATATTTACAGGACAATCACGCAAAAGGTTACCATAGCTTAGATGTGATAAATAAATCTTCACGCTTGACAACACCTTCTTCAAATAGCTTCTTCAGAGCTATCCCCACCTGAAAACCCAAAATGCGTTTATTAATTATTACTCGTCTTGAAACAAGATAAAATTGGGGTCTAGTGTAAAGCATATAGTAGTAAGAAAGACAGGTAAGTGCTAGTTTTGAGTTCTGATTGCCAGCGCATGGCCCTGAGTAGTGCAGATTTGTCTTTTACTATGTAAACTTTTTTTCTTTTTTCTTTTTTTGAGAAGGTGGAAGATCATCAACTTATTATCTAAACGAGTAGTTCACTATCAGTCCATATAAAATGGAGGAATATCATACAAGTTTCCATAACAGTAGGTTGCCCAATTGAATCAAGAACGGAAATCATCTGTTTTGTGCCGCTGATCTGTTTTCACTAATGCTGTTAATGCAAAATTGATACACGAATCGTTTCAAACAAAAACATAGACGAGAACTAGGAGGACCATGCCTACAGAATTCTGCAGTGATACCCCAGTAATGCGGGAATGATTCAAAGTTTTGGACCAACCAAGTTACCTCATTTTCATTTTTGTACATTCTGGCGCAATCGATGTGCCGGTACCCCGCCTGCACAATCCGAAAACAACCTTATATCGGTTTGCCATCATCATCCATCACAAAGTAGAGAGAGAAAAAAAAACGAAACGAAAAAGGTGATGAAGAGGAGAGGAGGAGACGCCGCGAGTGGGGGACCTTGACAGCGGCGTAGACGGCGTCGCCGACGACGCCCGGGTCGGACTGCCAGGTGCCGAGCCCCACCGAGGGGATCTTGGCGCCGGTGTTGAGCACGAAATGCTTCGCCATCTCCGCCCGCCCCTACTACCACCCCACAGCCTCACACGCCGTCACGCAGAGATCGAGCGGTGCCGCCGGTGCGAGAAGGCACGGGGACCCTGCGGAGGCGGCGGCGAGGCGGGCGCAGCGCGCTGCTTTACTGTAGGCAGCGGCCAGCGGGAGCGCTCGGCTAGGTTGTCCCGGCAGTCCGGCGCGGCCACGAGACTACGGGAGGCTTCAGGTTCACCGTTATGGTGGCAGGTTGTGTCGAGTGGACGGGGCATAGTTTGTAGGGAAAAAAAGCACGAATTACCTTCCTAAACTTTTGCAGTCATCCGAATTACCCCTAAACCAAAAAAATGGATATTCTTCACCCCTAACTATGCAAACCGGGCGAATTATCCCCCTCAAACCAATTCAGAGCGGTTTTGTCCAACGTGGCGCACACGTGACAATCCAGTCAGCGTTTTTTTAATAAAAAATTGTGAGACCCGCCTGCCATACTCTTCTTCCTCTCTCTTTCTATTCTCTCTCTTGCTCTTTTCTCTCTCGCGGCTCATGCAGCGTGCACAGCGAGGATGGTTAGCGAGGACGGCTCGAATGTCGACGCGGAGGCGGAGGCGGCAGAGGCGACGGAGGGGAGTGGCGACAGAGGCGGAGGCTGACCGGGCGCGCGGGGACACGCGGCGGGTGCCTCCTCATCGTGGGCGCATGGGGACACGTGGTGGGACACCACCGCCACCGCGGGCTCCTCCTCGTCGTGGGCGCGCGGTGGTCGGCGGCGCGCGAGGACTAGGTGGTAGGGCGGCGGGGCAAGGCAGTGGAGGAGGCGAGCGGCAGCGGGAGTTCGCGCTGCTCGAGGTGAGGCGAGGCGGCGGCGCGGGGTGACGGCGCGCGAACGAGGCTCGAGGCGACGACGGCGACGGGCGACGAACGACGGCGCGCGGCACGGGCAGGGCTCGAGGGGAGATGGCGACGGCGCGCGGCGCGAGCGACGACGACAAGCGACGCGATTGGTCCCATCTGTTCCTCCGCTTCATCGCGGGCGCGGCCGCGGGCTGGGGCTGGTTGTCGCGCATGGCGTCGCCCGCCGCGCTCGCCTCCTCCTTCGCCGCCACTGCCGCCTCGCCTCGCCTCGAGCTCCCACCGCCGCTCGCGTCGCCTCGAGCAGCGCGAGCTCCCGGCGCCAGGACGGGCATGGCTGGAGATGGACTGAATTTTCCCATGGAGAAAGGTCCGGGGTCTTCCCGACTAGCAACACAAGCTGCGAGCTAGCCGGTCCGGGTTTGAGCCTCACCCCCTTCTTAATTCAAAATCAATCTAGTCCTTTCTAGATTGGTCTCATTTGTGTTCGCGAAAAAATTTTCCATGGACGAAAATGCCCCTCTCTAATGATGTTTGTCATGTAAACTGGAGTAACTTTTAATCCGAGCCATTTATGCACTTCAATTTTCGTGCGTTCTTTTCTTTAGAAGCATAGAAGCACGACTCGCTGCGATCGATCGTCAATTTTGAAGGCATATTTTTAATACACCTAAAACGAGAAACCTCATTAACATATGATTAATTAAGCATTAACAATTAAAATTTTAAAAATAGTTTATTTGAATTTTTCAAACAACTTCTATTATTATCTTAAAAAAACGTACCGCTTAAAAATCATGCTAATGAAAAAAAAAGAGAAAGTTAAAATTTGGAGTTGAGAAAAAAAACTTGGCCTTAATCAATAATCACAAATTTCTGTGTGCAGTGCCCACCAACACCAAAGCCCACCAATTTTCGCCGTCTTTGCAAGCAAACGCACGCAAGCGACCGCGTCCTGGCTTGCCCCACCGCACCCGACGCCGCGCAACGCGACCCCAACCCCAACCCGGCGTCGTCACCGCGCACCAATTCCACCAAAAATTCTCTCGTCAGAGAGCGCGCGCCACCTTTCGCCGTCCACCCATCGCCCCCAACGCTTCTTTGAAAAACCGAAACGCCAGTTCAACTCCCAGCACGGAAACCGCCCACCAACTTTCGCCGCATGGCCGCCGGTCGCCGGGGCGGCGTCTGAGAGGGCGCCCGCGCGGCGCGCGGCGCGGGTCGGAAGCGGAGGAGGGCGATCGAGATGAGGGAGCTCGCCGGCAGCCCCGGGACGTGGAGCGGCCTCTCGCTGCGGGTGGGGCAGCTCGTCTTCGCCGCCGCGTCCGTCTGCGCCACGGCCTCCGCCCTCGGCTTCGCCGCATACACCGCCTTCTGGTGCGTGCCGTCCCGCCCCCTCTTCTCCCCACCCTTGTCTCGACGTCATCCCGTACGAGTAGACGAGTAGTCTGTCGCTCGATTGCTACGAGCAACCCTCGCTGCGTGCCTTATGCGTTTGCAAATCGATTGGGGATGCTCTGGTGACGGCGTTTCGCGTGCTTGGGCAGAGTGATTTAGTGCGGATCATAGGCATCATAGTATCATACACGCTTGAACAATCATGATTGAGTCGGCCAATTTGCTGATTGATAGAGTAGCTTATTAAAATTTGGCCGGCATGTCACGCCGCCCTGCAATTTGCTGATTGATATGCAGCTTTGTTGCTGGATAATCATTGTTGTGGCTTTATTCTATATCCGACTGCTTGCTTCCTGGAGCCGTCTGCTACTGTAATTGGGGATGGAAGTTTTGTGGCAATGAGGTTTCCTTTGTGCATTATATTATTCACAATTTCATTGACAGAACGATTCATTTCGTAATTCAAGTTTGTGCAATTTGGATCATCAAAGTAAATATATTGTCACTGTTGCTTTGAATATAAGTTGGCCTTAGGCTTTTGGTCTAAGTTTGTAGCCACTGATAGCTGTAAGATTTGAATAGACACTCCTTCAAAATTGACAATCAGTTAAAACTATTCAGTGACTGAGGCATCTGTTTCAAGCAGTAGAATGGCTTTGTTCATCTTCGGGTGCAGCAGCCGGGGATGTTGTTATTCCGTTATCTAAATGTTTGAAGCACTAGGAGAGACCAAAGGTAGTCAATATAATGAAATTTAAAATTTTTATGTTGCTGGAACATTGAGCAACTTTACTCATATCCAACATTCATTGTTTAAGTAGGGTAGGCATGCCAATCATTCATGATAATCTGTTCTTTGTTTGTTTGTCCTATTTATTACTCTATTTAATTTGATGAGTGACATAGGAAGTCTCAGTGTTGTCTGTGCTGTTAAGATTGGTGTGTTCATTTTGTGGAAGGAATCTGGCAGTCGTTTGCATATGTGAACATTCGTCTATGCATCCATCAAAGCAAAACCATTTGATCTGCACTATGACAGAACTTGCAGATTGAATAGTATCCTGTTAAGTAACCAGTTTTTGGTGAACTCTCAATTTCAGTTACTTGATTGCATCGATGGGACTACAGGCACTCTGGAGCTTGGGACTTGCTTGCCTTGATTGCTATGCCTTGAAATTCAAGAAAGATCTCCACAGTGCTGTTCTCCTGAGCTTATTTGTTGTTGGCGACTGGGTAATTATTAATGATTTTTTTTCATCTCATGTATTATTCACCTCAGTAGTTCCCACAACCATTGAAATGGATAAATATTTAGAAACAAATCAAGTAAAAATTTAAATTTCTGAAAATTTCTCTGCCAGGCCTGTCAAAGCATAAGTATTATACTCAGATAGAACTCATTATAAAAATATCCACTTAGAAATGATTTGCTTTAGCACATCAAAACCATATTCTGCAGTATTTTGAACCACATTTAGCATTCCTGGATCATTCTGTTTTAGGATTTGTAATTGCATCACATGTTAAGAGACAGGCAACAGAATTAATCGACTTCCGTTCGCATGATGCAGGCTAGTAAAGCTTGAGCTACATGGTATCAAATATTAATATTAGCTGGATGTTGTTGAGATCGAATTTGTCATAATTTTCATTTAGTACATTCTGATTGTAGGTAGAATTAGGATCCAGGTGGGGCGAGACCAACTCTTGACTTGTCCTAGTTCTCCACTTACCAACTAAATCAAATAAATGTATGCAATTTGGACTGCCAATTATGTGAGGACTGGAACATCAATAAATTGGGATGGTTAGTTAACAAACTGGAAAATAAAGTTTCAAACACAAGAGGTTTCGCTATTCCTACAGGAAATGGGCAATTTCATGCGAAAATCTTAGCTTAAGCACATAAATATTTCCATGACTTGCGAATCGTTCGCATTACTATACAGTTTCCAATCCATCTTACCGCACAATTTGAATTTGGGGCATAAAGAACATAAAACATTTTGTGCCATATCTAAACATTTAAAGTGTGTTTTCTGATGTACTAAAGCAACAGTTGTACATGATGCAGGTAACAGCAATCCTGTCGTTCGCGGCATCATGCTCAGCAGCAGGTGTAGTTGTTCTCTTCGATAGGGACATATACGCTTGCAGGAATCCCCAACTCCCTTGTGGAAGATTTGAACTAGCCATAGCATGTGCTTTTCTTTCTTGGGCGTTTAGTGCCACATCTGCTCTCGTAATGTTTTGGCTCCTCGCTTCATTGTGAATAAATTTGTACAACCTCTGTCTGTAGCTCCCCTCTGTTTGATCCCTTCTCTGTATACGAACTAATTTTTGAAGACGACAACACAACAGAAGTTCTGAAATGTCATACAAGCTCCATGAACTCTGTTTCCGAGAAACTAATTGAATGGAACATCTGCAGAAAATTTATGTTCCATATGCTCAAGCACGTTTCCTTCTCATCGTCATTTTTCTTTTGGGTTTGTTTTTTTTTGTTTCCATTGGTGCAAAGTTATCGTCGATTGTTTCCAACCCCTCTCTGAATTTAATGCAATGAGGCACTATAACCTCTTAAACTTGTACTTCTACATTAATTACTAAACGATACAGATGAAGCTTTTTACTGCATAATTTTCACCAAACAAACGAAATTTTCTCTACCGAAACAATGGTTAACTGAATTAAGGACGGGTAAACTTGTAATGTCATCAGATAGGCGCATTGAGATGAAACATGTTCTATCTAAATGACCCAACGACAAGGACTGTATCCGAGAGTGACGTGGTTTTTAATTCACTAAGCCTCCAGTCCACATGATTTTGAGTCATCCCAGCCCTTATTGCAACACATGATAGTTTTTTTTCTTTCTTTTTGAGAGGACAACATGGTAGGTACTTGTGTCTTGTCCCAACCAAGAAAAGGTCCGATGCATATTCGCTTCCAACGTTTCTCTTGGCCATATGTATATGGCTACCCATTTCAGGGAGCTATTTTGTGGAGTAGAAAATAATATGGAACACTCTCGTCCTCACAATGGCTTGCAAGACTGAGGCTGATGGAAGAACAAGAAGCATGGCCTAGGATGGTTTCTCATCTCGTTGGCTTCAGTTGCTCCACTAGCTCATTTGGTTTATTGATTGAGATACTGAAGAACTTCAGATCCATAAACCATCACTCATCGGTATACAGAAAATGACAAGGCTTGAATTGCCAGTACAGATCGAAATCACCACCACAAATCACAACCGCAACTGCGAAGCTCAGCACAGCAGCATGAGCAAATTGCCGTTTCATACTTACATACCAGTAGTTCTACTTTTATTTTTTCTTTTTCTAGTTTTTGCGATGAGCTTGTACAAATAATTGGCCTATAGTTTATATGGATCTGCCTGATCCTTATTATTATCCACTTTGCATCATTTGCTACAAATTGTGCAATACATCATGGGTCTGTTCCATATAGCAGTATATATTTGTTTCAAAAAGAACAAAGTACAAGGCTGATCCTCTTCTTTTATAGGAAAAAGAGTTTCTTCTGGTCCTCTTGGTGCAGGGTTGAGAACTTTACTGGATGGTCCAAATGAAGGTACAATCAAATATGGCACACTGAATTCTCATTGAGAAGCAGTTTTCAGAATGTGAGTAACACACATGCTAGGTCAACATCTTGGAAGGATCACAGGTATAAACTAAAGATACTGCATTAAAAGAACTTGAGTATACCATAACATAAAAGGAGGGTTAGTTCACATGACAATCTCAGGCTTCAGGATGCTTGACTTGATCTCTTTGTGCGGGAGAACAACACCGCCGTTGGTATAGACCTCATCACCTACATGTACGTCCTCTCCCAGGATAGTCATATTTTCTATCCGTGCCCATTGTCCAACAGTTGAGTGCCATCCAATAATGCTGTTTGATATGCAAGCATGCTTCTTAATGTGCACGCCACGCATCACCGTGCAACGGGAAAGCCTCACACCATCCTCCACGACGCATCCAGGACCGATAGCAACATCAGGACCAATCAGACAGCCTTCGCCAATCTTGGCACTCTCGTGAACTAGCACATTCCCAACAATGTGTGCTCCAGTGGCTAACCTGTTGGTTGATCTCTTCCTAAGTGAATCCAGATAAAGGCGCAAGCCTGTAATGTAATCCCTTGGTTGGCCAACATCCATCCAAAAACCTGGAAGGACCAGAGCAAAGAGCTTTGCATCAGATGCAATTCGAGGAAAGACCTCTTTCTCAATTGAAGTTGGCTTCAGCTCGATGCGGTCCAGGACAGATGGATTCAACAAGTAAATTCCCGCATTGATCTTGTTGCCTACAAATATTTTTGGTTTCTCAACAAATTTTTCCACCATTCCAGTGACCTCCTCCATAACCACAACACCATATTTTGATGGTTCGTCCACCTATATTGAAATAATAGTCAGTATACACAGTACACAAGTTTACAATTCAAGAGAGTGGTCAAAGAAAGGATCTACCTTGGTGACCATAATCGTTGCCTCACCACCATGGCTCTTGTGAAATTTTATGAGCTCAGCAAAAGGGTATTCACTTATGACGTCACTGTTGAGGACAAAGAATGGCTCACCAGATCCATCCACAAGCTTGTCCCTTGCTAGAGCAAGAGGGCCAGCAGTTCCCAAGGGCTCAGTCTCTTGGGAACACGTGATTGTGATGCCAAGCTTATCCTCAAAGTCCTTCAGGAAATTGAGCATTACCTAAAAGACGGATCAGAGCAAACCAATTAGAATGTGAAGTTAGTTATACTTATACCATGAGACAACAGTAAAAGATTATCTCCTTTTTACCTCCGGTCGGTAGTTGATGGCTAAAACAACTTCTGTTACTCCAACTTCTTTCAAGGCCTCAATCTGCATAAATCGGAAAACTTTTAATTCAGAGCTCATTACTCTCCTCAATCCTCATGCTCATGTTTGCTGGAGCCAACATTTTGGATATAAATCAAGTACTCTTGATAACCGATTGGAATTTTCGAGGACAGAGAAAATTTGGTGTGATACCAAAAGAGTTTTCCAAAATCATGTAACCAAATTGATAACTAAGGAAAGAAACAATTGAATAGTAAAAAGGTGCATTCAATCACATCCAAGTGCAACCTACCATGGATTTTTAGTTGTTACACCATGTTTATGTGGGAGTAATAAACAAATCAAATAGTATTAATGTTCTCTGACCAGTTTAGCACCCTCTCCCTCCTTTCATGGAGAGGCCAGTGCCATTGTTGGACTGTTGGTAAAGAATACTGTACTATAATTAACTTGTGCCCAATTCATCCATTGGCACTGCAAATAAGTACTCTTATTACTCCATCAGAGTACTAGCGAAACCACTTATTACCTGATGCAGAATCATGGGCTTGTTCGCGAAATCAACAAGAGGCTTTGGGAAACTGAGCGTCAAAGGCCGAAGGCGAGTGCCGAAGCCTCCAACAAGAATGAGCGCCTTCATGGTGAATCGCCGCCTCCTGTTCTCCCCTCCCTAATCCCTACTCCGGCGGGGATCCTCAAGCGGGCTCGGGAAGGAGAAAGCTGCCATTGCAACAGTCAAAATCAAATCCGACACTAGGTTGGAGCATCAAAGAACAAAGAAAGAAAGATTTCGATTTGATCGCTCGCGGCCGCGGCAAAGCTCCGATGAGTTTAGGGCTTCCGTACCAATAGGAGGGATCAGCCTGGAAGATCTCTCTTCCTTCTCCACGACCAGCGGACCAGCCCTCTTGGAGGTAGGTAGCGCAGCTGCGGTGGAAGGAGGAGGGCTTTGTGCTGCGCTGGATTGGGAATCGAGAATTGGGTGGGACTTTATAGAGACGAAGTGGAGAGGCGACGCGAGGGGAGGGGAACGAGAGTACGAGACACGACGAGAGGTTCAGGCTTTCAGAATTCAGATAACTACAGTAGAGATGTGGTTTCTGTCAACGGAAGAGATTTTCTTTTAATCCCCTTCTAATCATGGGAGAATATTATTAAAATAAATAAATTTTAGAAAACGCTATGTTTGCTTTGTTTGAATGAGAAGTCGAGGGGAAATCTTTGAATGAGGAAAAAAACATGCACGTTAGTACGTTACATACGCCTTTTCTTCTTGTCCAGTTTATTTCCGCCTGGCCTTCTGTTCCAGTTTATGCTTTCCACTTTCCCTGATCCAAGAAACCAAAGATTGCTTCTTCTTTTTTGTCACAATGAAGCCGCTTCGGACTGTCATCTGTCCAGACTGTAGATGCAGGCAACCAACCAAGGCGAGGCATTGCGCTGCCCATTGTAATCACGCATAACATAGGATATTCCATGTGCTAATCCTGATGCGTCCGGAAACCCGGCAGATCTGATGATCTTGGCTCCTCTTTCTAGGGTCAACCGGCTCTCCGGTATCCAAGATATCTGCACCTTGCTTCGACTAATCTTTCTTTGGTTGCGAGTGACGGGACCCAAATGCGCACTCACTGATACGCAAACGCGCATGCGAGAGAAATGCCGTGTCGGTGCTCTTTTCTTTTTCTTCCTTGCTTCCAAGCTGATCTTGTGATTACTTAATCTCGTATTCTCGTGTATGGTGCCGCCAGAATCTGTTTATGATCTGAAAACGCTGCAGTAATACACTAGTAATACTGTGTGATCCTGTGATACAACCGTCAGAAAAAACCTCCCAGTCGATATTTTATTCCCCTTTTGAGTTCAATGGTTTTTGGGATTAGGGTGTATACCTTATTGTCCGTTTCGTGATAAGCTTCGGAATTTTGGATAAGGCTTAGCCGTTCTTACGACTTTTTGGGCCATAAGGCCTAGTCGGGTTACATTTCGTTACGTGATGATGGGCCTCTCTGTGGCCAGATGAACTGGGCCTGAAAAAACAGAATCTTGGAAAAGCTACTGGCTGTCTAAGGAAAAAGTACACCGGAGATCCCTCGTCTTGTAACCGAATTATAAATCGTCCCTAAAAAAAAACCCAGTTACAACTCATCCATCAACTTACAAAAACAGTGCAAATGAGGTCCTCCGGTGGTATTGTCCCCAGTTTTGATTGACGTGACACCTACGTAGCTTCTTTTACTAGTTCTTCATCCCACGTGAGATTGACGTGGGGCTTACGTGGCAGTTTCTGGGGAAATAATAAAATAATAAAAGGTAGGACCCGCATGTTAGATCCCTCTTTCTCTCTTCTTCCTCTCTTTCCTGCGCACAGGGAGGAAGGCCAGAGGAGGGCGCACGACTCCAATGGCTATGGGCGACCTCGACGGCGACGGAGGTGGCCCAAGATGCGGTGGCACTGGAGATTCGAGTGCGGTCGGCGGCGGGTGGCTCCCAAGAATGCTGGCGGCGGTGACAGTGGAGAGAGAGAGAGAGAGTGGAGGAAGCTCGAAGGCTGTGCGGCGACAGCGCGGCATTGGGGAAGAGTGGCTGCCGGCGTAGATGAGCTCTGCGGCGGCGGCGTCGCTGAGCCCGTGAATCAGGAGCTCGAGAGTCGGTCGGCTGGGAGCCACCACCGCGCTCTTCCCCCGCCAGCCACCAGCTGCGCCTGCTCGCCGGCCCTCCTCCCTGCCGTGTCAGTGACACCACCGCTGCCAATGCCCAACTTCTCTCTATCAGCCCCTCCTTCCTGCTACATCGTTGACGCCACCGCCCTGCTCTCGTTTGCCGGCCGCCGTCTGTCGCGCTGGCCCTCCTCTCCGCCGCATTCCTCCCATGTCGCGCTGGCCCTCCTTCCCGCCGCATCGGTGACGCCACAGCCGCCCATGCCAGCTCATTAGCGGAAAGGCTGCAATGGCGGGTGGGCAGTGGAAAGGTGGCAGTGGCACTTGCCAACAGCTGCCGCGCACCGTCTCTGCAACACTGGCAACTATAGTGCCCCGAACCTCGCAAGTCCGGAGGCCACGATACTGTACTTGTGTAACATGTACCAGTCCCAGGATACACAAGCTGATACACACGGAACATCGGTGATCCAAAACAGTCTAATATTATTACATCACTAGGGTAGTCCTTACATAGGTTGCCATCGTGGACAGATCCCATATAGACAACTTTGGAACACAAAAGACAGCAACATAACGCGAAAACAACATAGCGGGAGCTAACGGCGGAAGGCGACTTAACGACTAAGCGCTAGGCTAAGCGCCTAAGCGACTAACTTATTTCATAGGCACGGTTTTGGAACTAGGCTCGGAACCCTAAAAATCTTCATAGTTGACGTGCTCCTGAAGATACTCCTCGGCGGAGGGGTCATCTCCTCCATCTTAGTCAAATGCTTCGTGTCGAGGAGAAAGAGTAGAGAGGGAAATATGAAGAGAAAGAGAGGAGGGGAAATAGTCGCTGACATGTGGGGCCCATGTGAGTCCCATGTTGATTCAACTGCTACGTTGGATAAAATCGGGGTCAAAACCATCTAAGGATCTAAAGTAATTCCTTTTTTAAGTTGAGAGATATTACATAGTTTGGTTTTTCGGTTGAGCGACGATTTTGTAATTCAACGACAAGACAAAGGACTTTTAGTGTACTTTTTCCACTGTCTAATTACGCCCAGCAAAGCCCAACCCAAACAAACGGCAGTCCTGCATCAGGTAACAGGAGAATTTTTTCTTCAGAGGCAAATCAATCACAGTGACCGAGATAGCACTTGCATATGCGTACCTCTCTGCATACAGAACCTATCACCAAATTTATACAGTTACACGCACAGTATTGTTTTACAAATTCGTTTTTCTCAAGATACAAAGCGTTTCGCCCTTCGACGCACAAATCTTCCCTTTGGAGACCTGCACCTCGTTACAGAGCATAAACAGCTAAAAAAAAAAAGTAAAGGTCGCTTATAGATGCTATAGGCTGAAAAGCCCAAACTAGCTAAAGTACTAGGCTCCTTACATCTCTCACTGTCTGCACTGCACAAGCACAGCACCACAAACCTCAAATTGTCTGAACGACTGGCACCTGCAGTTTGATCGGCGTAGCAGTTCACGGCATCCTAAGCTCGCCGGCGCAGCGTGGAGCACCGGAGGTGCGACGCCCGGGCGGTGCAGGTGGTGACCTCCTCCTCGGAGCCGGTGGAAGCCTGAAGACGAAGTGGCTGGGTCTTGTCATCGGCGTGTCGGCCGTCAGAGTCCCCCGGCAGGAGCACGTACGACGCCGGCGACGGCCTGTCGGAGATCATGTCGCTGAGGGATACGTGCCCTCCCTCCTTGTACTGCGCTACCGCCTTGAAGATGAACGGGATGATGCCTTCCATGGGAGAGATTCAGAGGATTTTCCTTGCGAGTTGTAGGGAGATCGAGCTGGGACTGATGCTGGATTAGGATGAGTGAGGCTTGAACTGATGGGGGCTATAAAAAGAGCAGGTAAAGTTGCCGAGAAAGTGACACGAGCTACTGTAACAGACGCAGCAAAATGACGTTGAAACAAGATCGATCGGAATCCCAAATACTACTAGTTAACTGTATTAGGTTGAAATGGCAATCTTGATCGGCTTTACTCTGACGTGGATGTATCATATACCGGCAGCTAGCCCCGTGGTTTTTCTCTTCAGCCAACGGATTAATTTTTGGATAATTAATCCAGTGTAATCCATGAAGACTTGGAGGGAATGAGGGGTTAGCCAGTCTTACAAGGCGCGTTCCCGATTGGACGGCAATCATATCAGGATGCAAACCTGTGGATGACCTTTTCAGCTCTTGAAGTTGATGATGCTATAATCTAGCGTACCTGCTACGGGAGGAGAAATAAGACAGCGTTTTTAAACCTTGATCTTGACAATGCCGGTACGCCGTTGTCCCGTTGAAACTTTCAGCTTCGTTCACTGTAGTATTATTGCACTAATCCACTGGAAAATATAAAGCAATCAACCTGATCGATCAGCGCTATGTAGATACCCCACACACTCCCGCAGCCTAACCCTGTTGATCAGCACAGGAATGGACGTTTCTTCTCTGCGTCTGCGTGCCTAGGTGCCATTCGTCCACTGGAACTGAAAGTCTGAAACTGATCATGTGCTTTTGAACTTGACAGCAGCGTAGGAATATAGGTGTATAGCAGCAAGAACTGACCGCGGAAAGCATAGAGAGATATCCCGCGTGCGGGCGCGGGTAATTCGTAGGCAGAAGGGTGTTCTCTGTTGGCGTATGTGCGGACGAGTTTGGCCAGCGGGAGTGGAATGGAGAAAGGCGTAGTCGCAGGTTGCAGACTCGCAGCCACTGGAACGCGAAATATTTCGGCTCCTCGCGACCCATAGGATAAGCGCGCGGCGACTGCGAACGCCAAGACGCGCGCGCGCGCGAGCGAGACGGTTGCCCCGTCGAGTCGGAGCCGGGCGGTGTTTGGCTTGTCTCCCACGGCCACGCGCAATCGCGCATGCGCGTTGCCCCCCGCTGCTGTTGATGTCAGCGCGAGCCGCGAGAGTTTCGGCGAGCGGGCGTCGCTGCCTCGGCAAAGAGCAAGAAAGACGGCAAGCGCTAGCTGGGCGGAGCGCGTCGACTCGGAGCCGGTCGGGTCACGGAAAGGATCAAAGAGAAATCGAAGGCGAGACTGCCGGTCTCCAGGAGGTAAGCTGCTGAGACACGGCCATGCGAGCGTGCCGTGCTTTGCTCGTTGGCAGCGGCCAGCAGGCACGTGTAACGGCGAGTGATTACCGTCTCTTGTTAATTTAGTCTCCAATCGCCCAGACAGCATTGGTTTCTCCTGCGTCTGGGCTTATTTTTTCGACGGTCACTGCACCTGAATATGATTGTTTTTTTTTTTTTTGCAGGGAACCTGAATATGATTGTTACACCTCAAATGCCTCGAACATGTTCCTAGATCAACCCAGGAGAGTACAAGCAAGCATAGTGATGGCAACGAGAAGCAAACTCTGAGCGGATTCTTCTTATCCGCTAAATGATCCCGTGGGGCCAACCTGGCAGTGACCCTAAAGACAGCAACCACCCCCCTCCTGACTCAACCACGAAAAGACTACGCGCACACGTCAAACTACCCCACAGGACCCGTACCTGCCCCCGCACCCCCCGACGCAATCGTCCACCCCGCGTCGTCTCCGGCCGCCGCCCACCGCCGCCGGAGCCCCGCCGCCCCCAGCCCGCCATGGCGGATCCGCCGTCCGCGGCCGCCACCGCCTCGCCGCAGCCCGATCAGCTCGCCGCCGCCGCCGTCTCCACCCCGCAAAACCCCAACCCTAACCCCCTCCTCTCCCCCCAAATCCCACCGTCGCCCACCGTCTCCGACCTGTCCGCCATCTCGTCCCCGCAGCTCGACCCGTCCGCGGCGGGCGGCGGGGCCATGGACTACCCCCCGCGGCCGCCGCAGATGCAGGCTCCTTCGCCCGGCCAGGCGGCGGCCGGGGCTGGAGGCTTCGGCCAGATCCACCGCTCGGGCTCGGGCTCCCGCCTCGCCGCTGTCGGCCAGCTTCCACAGTACGCTGCTGCTGCGGCCAGGATGTACGGCAGTCAGGTGAACTTCTCGGGAGGTGGAGGACAGGTGGGACAACAGCAGCAGCAGCAGCAGCAGCTGGCTGCTCGCGCGGCCATGCTTAGTCAAGGCCAGATTGGGATGCTGCAAGGGCAGGGGAACGCAGCATCTGCGGCGCACTATGGTCTCCAGTCACAGATGATGGCGCAGGTAAATTTGGGGTCTCAGGCACGCTTTGAGTTAGCTGAATTTTGCATCTAATCATCATGAATTCCACTTTTAACGGAAGTGGGAAACACAGACTCTTTTAATTGTAGACTTGTTTACTTGTGGTTAGAGTTTTTCTATCAGCTTAACAGGGTAGCGTATCGTATATGGTAACAGTTTTGTAACATGGCTTAGTGAATTGGTGACTCAAATATCTATGCTGAATATTTTTAGGAGGGTACGCACACAAAATTAGATCAATTTGATCAGAATGCCAGGTCCGGCTGAAACTTTGCATTTACCAGTTGATTGTGAATCAAAAGGAAATGAATCGTGGATCCAGAATCTTGAAATTTCTTAAACAGTTTTGACTTTTTTTTCTTGTAGCATCATGGTATTTAAGTAGTGGAGATAACTCCTTGGGTGTGATGGTGCATACCACAAGAAAGAAAAACTAGAAATCTACATTTCTCGTACTATGTTCCATTGGTAAAATATTTGTGATTTCTTTTAGAATCAAATATAAGCTCTGATAAGAAGCCTTCTGTTGTTGGAATCTTTGCAGGCGCAACCACAATTGTTCGAATATCTGTATTATATTTAGAATTGCTTAATGAAACACCCTCTGCTTTTTTTTATTGGAAACCACATTAAGAGGAGTGATTCGTACTAGTTTTGCCTATGTTAAGAAATTATTATTATTGGGGAAAATAATTCAGTTGAAGGTAACTAGTAACTATCACCATCTGATTGTATTACTAGCATAATTGGTTTTTCTTGTTGCTGCAGCCAAGGCAGAAGGGTATGGTGCAAGGTGCACAATTTAATACTGCCAATGCAGCTCAAGCATTACAAGGTATGCAGTCCATGGGAGTCATGGGTGGTATGAGAGGAAATGGAACTATTCCATATAATCAGCAACGTTTTGCCCATGCACAAGCACAATTGAGGCCGCAGCAGACATCACAGCAAGGCACACTGTCTCCACAGGTACTTGACTTCCGTAAGCAAAAGAATTATCTTTGGTTATCAAGCACCCACCTCCTTAGTCCTTACCTTACCATATGTATCTTTCATGGCCTTATTGTTATTATATGTGAATGCATGCCGCAGCAAATAGCCAAGGTCCTTTTTAAAGAACATATATTAACAGGTACTGATCAAAGAAGCTAATATTAATCTCTTGGCAGCTTTCTGATGTATCTTTACACACAGTTACTAAAATTATGCTTTTACCCACTAAAACTGCATGAGAGTTAAGCATTTGTGTGTCCTTTTCCCTTTTTCTTTTAGGATTAATCAGAACTATGCTTATTAACTTTGCACCATGGATATTCTATTTTTAACTTGTGACAGTTGCGTGCATCAATTTTTCTAGCACCTCTCATGTTTATGCGGATAACTTCTATCTTGGTTTATTTATCAGAAGGTTGTGGGTCAAGGCTTGACAAGAACAGCATCGATTGCTGCATTAAATCCACAGCTACCTGGATCGTCGACAAATGGGCCGATGGCACAAATGTCCCTTCCTCAGAAACAGCAGCAGGCAGCATGGTTAAAACAAATGCAATCATCGCTGGGATCACCTGTTTCTCCACAACAATTTCAGCATCAACAAAGGATGCTATTAATACATCAACTTCAACAGCAGTCAGGATTGAATCAACACCAAATCGCACAAACCCAACAACAGCATCCTCATCTCAATACCCAGCTTTTACAGCAGCAACACATTCTACAGCAACTTCAGCAACAACAACAATCTCCAAGGATATCAGCATCTGGTTCCCAGAAGTCCATGAACCTGACAGGATCACAACCGGGCACTCCTTTATCAGGTGGAACTATGACTGGTGGAAGTGCAAGTCAAGGAGCAGAAGTAACTAATCAACTTCTTGGGAAGAGAAAAATACAAGATTTGGTTTCACAGGTAACAAATAACCTTCTGGGTTCATTCTTATGAGCTTCTGTATCACTGGTATGATGTGATCGTATCATGATCTTTGAGATTTTTCTTGAAATATTAGAATCGCATTCCCATTTTTCAGAAGCATATTCTCTTTGTTGGTTGAATAATAATATTTTGCTCTTTTGGTCGAATAATACTTTACTCTTTTGGTTGAATAATACTTTGCTTTGTCTTTGAATTGTGAACTCCTATTTACAGGTAGATCCCCTGGGCAAGGTTGATCCAGAAGTGGAAGATTTGCTTTTGGAGATTGCTGATGACTTCATTGATTCGGTAATGTGTTTGTTGTTTGTAAATCATGCTTTTACAGCACACTTGCTCTTAGTGAATTTCTATTTGGTTGAAAAATGTGATTCCGTGTGATTCAGAATCTGAGTACCTTGAGCTTCTGATTTTGCTTCTTTTATCTGATGGACAAAACTTGTATCAACTGACCTTTTTTATTTGTTACTAGGTGACTGCATTTGCGTGTACCCTTGCGAAGCATAGGAAATCATCAGTCCTGGAAGCCAAGGATGTATTGCTGCACCTAGGTTGATAACCCTCCTCTCTGATGTGATAGAATCAACTTTATTTGCTTATTAAATCTGAATATATTTTCATGCAGAAAAAAATTGGCACTTATCTGTTCCTGGTTTCTTAAGGGAGGACAAGAATCCGCAAAGACATCCTGTAAGACTAAGAAATGCCATTCTATTACTTATTATATTTTGTGAAACTGTTTTTCTTAATCTTCGTTCATGTGCACTCATGTTATGCAATATGCCAACTGGACATCTGGACCCAACTTCTGAGGGAATTGACCTGGCTATTGTAGCCATTTTGTTGTTTTTGGGTTTTAGGTTTTATGACTTTGAATGTATGGGGGTAATCGCTATCAAAGTACCATAGTCTAGTGCTTTCTAGTAGAATTTACTTAGTAAAGGGAACATTAATTCAGCAATTTTCCCTGTTTCCTTTGTTTGTTTGGTTATAAAAGTTTAGAATGCAATGTTGTCTGTTTGTTATTTTGAAATAGAACTAGCACTTATATTTTTGCCATTGCCTTTATTCTCATCATCTGGGCATCTTGCATTGCATGTACTGCTGCTGTGCTATTCAGCAATAAGCTCAAACAAAAGTTTGATTGGATTATTTAAAACAATAAACTGCAACAGGTAAAGGTATCAGTGGACCCTCAACAACCAGAATGTGATGCTGCTGGTATTAGAAGCACAGGAAATAAATTGGTAATTAACAATTCAGTTGCCAACCATCAAACAAGACCTCCGGTTACTGAGCCTTCACCAATGCCCACAATGGGGCCTCTGTCAAAAGTGCCCCGTTTCTAAGCATCATGCCTCCTCATCAGTGCAAGGGAAAAGGGAAATTACATGTAAGTCTGTTCAGCAGATAGAATCATTCCTTTTCTTACTTTAACATTGCTTCATCAGAATTGTGATGATACTACAGTTGGAATTTGCATGTCTTTTAGTAATAAACATAATAATAGTTTTGCACAATTGCCTTGGGATGTTTATTAACAATGCATAGACCTTAGTCAACTTTCTGGTATACCCTTCAGTCAGCTGACAGTGATTATGTAAACTGGGCATTATTTACGGGCACTCGAGCTATCAGGCTTTGCCCGTCCATGGTGAAGCCATTTTTCCATTATAATCATTATCAGCTATTACATACTCGCCTCCCATATAAATGGAACTTTGAAACAAAATATGGTTGCTCTCATCTTTCACTCTTTCATACCACAATACATCCTCGTTCTAATCATCTGAAGTTTTCAGTACAGGTTCTAGGACATTTCACATACAGCTTGGTATTAATTAGTATCTAACTTGAGGATTGCTAGCAAATGGAAGCACAATAAATGTATGAGCATCTACGGGCAAAAGTGGGATGCTTGTGTTCTTTAAAGGAAAGAAGTTGCTGACTGACAGATTGTTCGCGACAGCCTCATCCAGGAGCTCTTGTGTAACCTTATTAGAAGTATTCGTTGATCGCTGTAGCTGACCCCTCTCGTTGTACATAAATGTTTTTTTGCGAACGGGGCAGCCCTTTTCGTTCTTGTTGTTCCTATATAGATGTAGAACCCATATTATGGTATCGTGTATTTGCTACAACTCATAAGTTGATCTAAAAGATCAGAAAAAAATGTCATTATATCGTGTCATTGGGCGTCTTGCATGTCTCCGATCACAATACAATTCAGCCTTTGCGGTCTTAAACTGTACCATTGCGCTCGTTTTTTTAAATCCGTCATCCTGAAGATCTCTAATTCTGGTGTGTACATTGTTTATAAGGATGATCTAAATGAGGGTCTCTAATCTTAAATGTGTACATTGTATATTGTATTTATTGAGGTGATTCAAATGAAAAGTCTTTGCGTCAGTAGTAGCTGCCTTATATAAAGTCTGGATTGAGGGAAAATTAACACGAAGTGACCGTCAAATTCTGAAGGATTTCAGAGGCGGGAGCAGAAATGTATAGCTCATCAGCCCCATACATGATCGTCCCTGTTCTAGCGTAATCAGCGTTCCGGTTAATTTCGTCTGCATATAGCAACCGGTTAATTTCGTCTGCATATAGCAACTGGAAAATGCAAGACGAAGCATGGACACAGTCATCACCGCATGCACTTTCAAGCACAGGCCTTACAGCCATTCCTACCCAACTGTATACGCGGTGCGATACAAGCTTGTGTACGTTGCCCGTTGAAGAGCGCACCGGAAAGAATGAATACACCATATCTGCATGCACTGCCATGTATATACACGAAATGCAACACGGCCGCACCTTGATGAAAGCCTACCAAACTCCTAACAAAATTGTCAACTAGGGAAGTTTGTTCGCCGTCAGGTTTTAAGTAGGGGACTCCGCGAGCACCAAGGTGTGCCACCAACCGCACGACACATTCAGTGGGTGGTATGCGTCGACAGGAACACTGCAAGGCACGTTTCTGTCCATGGAATCGCCGAGACCGAGCTGCACGCGCAACTCAAAAGTTATAAAAAGAACTGCAACGGTGAATGTTTTTCTTCTCCAAGTGCAGAGCTGAAATACGCACCTGTCCGTACTTGTTCCATCCCCAGCAGAAGACCTCGCCTTCATCTGCATAAATGTCACCACATTTTGTCAGTAGATGTTAGACCAGGAACAGCACTTTCTACGGGCATGTTTAAACAAATTGTCAGGGAGGCCAAAGATTAACAAGAATTTAAGTACTTCAATCACACATGGAACAGCTTATTGTAGAATTCCAACTTTCCAAGCACAAGTTACTGATAATACGCTAATAACTACAGTGACTCATAATATGATTACACATCAGAATATCTAGGAAGATTCAATAGGGCTTGCTTATATGGGGATTAGGCTCAGTACGTTCGGTTGGCAGACAGATTAAACTAAAATACTCATGGCTTTCTAAGGGATCGAGTATAATCTCTACCTCTTCAACAAACCCTAAAGGTCTTGTTTGGATAATTGGGTTTATTCAACAAACCCTTGCCAGAAATATTTCCTTGATTTAAATGAGCATGAGAAGAGCATTTTATTAATATGCAGTTATATTAGACAGATAGGATAGCAAATTCCTTCTAGGGGAAAAATACTAGTACAGTCAAAGGTACCAGTTATTATTGCACTATGACGAGCTCCACAAGAAACAGCTCGTGCATTCTTATTCTCCAAGCTTGAGGCATCTACCAGTTTTGGTACAGTCTGCATAAAAAAAAAAGCAATATACTTATGGTTATCACTTACTGAGTAAACATGCACCTCACATACAGCTAACTCCATTTTGGGAGGCAATCATTATGTTAACTGTAGTTATTTTCCCTAAACTTACTTTATGTAATTAACCTCCATTAACATCGAAAAGAATAGAATTGAGTAAAGTGTACGGGCGGTCCTTAAACTTGTAGGGGTATGTCATCTAGGTTCCTAAACTCTCAAAATGCATATCTAAGTCCCAAAACTTGTCATAGTGTGTTATCTAAGTCCCAAATCGCCACAAACTCTTCAGTATCCTACGTGGCGTTGATGTGACATGCCACACGGACATGACATGGCATCATTTTGATTTACAAATGAGACCCATTTAAAATTTTTCCTTTTTATTTTTTCTTCTCTTTTTTCCCTTTCTTCTCCTTTCTCTGTGACCCGAGTAGAAGAAAGGGAAAAAAAAGAAGAATGAGAAGAAAACAAAAAAGAAAAAGAAAAAAAGAAAAAAAGAAAAGGATACGTCACGTCCATATGGCATGCCACATCAGCGCCACGTAGATCTTAGAGGGGATGTGTCGATTTGGGACACTTTGACAAGTTCTGGGATCTAGATATGCATTTCGAGAGTTTAGGGACCTATATGACACAACCCTACAAGTTTAAGGACCACCAATGCACTTTACTCAATAGAATTTGTACCTCAGCTTGATCAGAACCAGTGCCCAGCTGCCCAAACTGGTTTCCTCCGAAGGAATAGACATCGCCATCTACAGATGTGCATACAGTGTGCCACAGCCCTGCACCAATGTCTTGCATCTTGACTCCCAGGATAGACGATACACACGTTGGACTTAAAACATCATCTGTGTTTCCTTGTCCACACTGAAGAATAAATTATACAATAATTAAGAGCACTAGTGCAACAGAACTTTTGTTGCTCCTACTCATAGGTTTCAAAATGGGGGAAAAATCTAATATATACCATGCCAAAATAGTGTCAAGTGAGTGAGCAAGAACTGTCATCACCATTGTTATGGAAGATGTCAAAGTTGAAAACAGAGAGAGAGAGAGAGAGAGAGAGAGAGAGACTTTCAATGAAACTACATATCACATGTAAACCAAATTAAATTGTAGCATAAGTTTGCTGTGTACTTGTTCAGTCGGAAAGCAAGTACAAACAACTCTTCAATGCCTAATCTTGTTGAATACATAGATGGATTACCCAAAACAAATCATACACTTCTCCATCCCTTGAATACATATTTCTTTTCCTAGCTACTTGGATGTGTTTAGTCATGCAAATGATGCTTTGAAATCTCACACAAGCTTGGTCCAACTGATATGCTATGGTAGAAGCACTAACCTGTCCGTACAGTCCCCATCCAAATGTAAGTAGTGCTCCTGAATCTGCAAAAGAACTAGCTGTTAAAAGTGCAGGGCCAAAATTTTTACTAGAATTTAGGGTTCCATGTGTTGTAAAAGCAGGTTGGAATTCACTAGAAGATATGAACAGAGCTGAACAGTTGCTAATATTTTGGTTTGAATTGAAATTCCTCCTAGATGTAACTCGTCTAGATCTGCAGTTTTGATTATTAGACTTTTGTGCACATCCTTGGATTTAAAGTAACTTCTTTGGAACATGTTCTTTGGTGATTTTACACAGAAAATCTCATATACATAATATCGTAGTTACTTAAAAGTTAACTACAATATATGGTCCAATCAAGCAATGCACCTTGTTGCCTCTAATCACCAACTATTTTCTATGTGAAAACAAACATGAAAAAAAGCATGTTGTCCATTCTTGTAAATTCGTAATACTACATCACAAAACATTACTTTATACTGTACCAAAGCAAACTGAACTACCAATTTGAAAGTATGTATTGTCATCCACAAGAAAAAAACCGACCCAACTGAGGTATTCACACATACCACCTTAAGATCATATATGATCGACATCAACTTTAAATAAGTAGGATAAAAGGTTCCCAGAGTGAGCTTGAAAGAAAGGGCTTACCTGTTACTACAGCACTGTGGCGACCCCCACATGCAATGGCCTTCACGCAATTTCCCATGACTTTGCTAATCTGCACTTCAGCACTTTTGTTTCCTTTCATAGCTGCTGGCCGATCTTTGCTGTACAATGCTGATTCAATGCACGGGATAGGATGTGGAGAGGAAACAGTCCGGATTCTAGAACCCAGGCCTAGTTGCCCTTCTCCTCCATAGCCCCAACCCCATACTTGGCCTAAATCTGAAGCTTTCGAGAAAACATTTAGTTTTAATCAGCAAAGTTCCCTAGCCCAGCAAATGTAGTGCCATAGTGTTAGTGCAAAATGTAGGCTACCTGATAGTGCTAATGTATGACGACCACCAGCAGCTACTGCCATTATTTTAACTCCTGTATTAAATGTCACTACACAAGGGGGTGCTGAAAGGTTTTCATCACTGGACGTTGAACTTTCGGGTGCATGTTTGGTTGAAGACAACCTTCGTCTCTTCGTGCTATCATCAGTACCTCTACTTTCAGAAGGACCAGATGCTGCTCCGCTACTTGTCCTAGACACCTGCGACCTGGGGCTCACTGTAATGGAGTTGCCTTTGTTATATCTGAAAACAATTGATGTAGAGAAGCTTATACTTTTTAGGCACAAATGAAACAAGGTAGGCAGTAATCATCACCACCTTGGTCAGCGGCAATCGCACTCTGTCTTTCATCTTTTTCCAAAGTTCCACCAGAAGATTGGTCAGAAATGACCCTTCCTGTTGGAACACATTCTTTCCAACCCCATGTATAGACATCCCCTTCATCTGGTCCAGTATGACATTTACGAAATTACTAGTAACACAAAAATTATGAGCTCTTGCTGTCCTAAAGTACGCTATGTGTGTTCAACTAGTAGTATACCAGTTATTGCAACACAATGAGCCCATCCAGCATCAGCTCTCACTATTGCCACGTCACTAGGAAGTGGAAAAGCTTCTGGAGTTTCCTGAGAAGTACAAAATTGTCCTTAGAAATATCTCCGAGTGATGAGAGCATAAAGCATCAATACAGATACGGGTAGCATTTTTACCTCATGCTTCCCGGCAGTCACATAGCTTTGGCCCATATCATCAGCAGAACCCCAAGTGAGGAGTTTACCAGACTCTGATCCAAATAAAAACCCCAGTTTAGTATCAAATTTATCTTGAACATGGTGAGCAACCGATTACAGAAATTTTCAGAGAAAGCTCGTTTCTATTGGCATATTGTTGAGTCTGAACACATACAATCTCCTGAACTAATAGTTTTAATTCGAACACTCTGATTTGGTACATCAAATTAATTCGTGGGGCCGGCCAACAAGAATGCAAATTCCCCATCACGGTCAACCGAACAAAATGAATTAAAAGGTCACTCGTGTGATCATGTTAGAGGCAACTAAGAACATGATATGACGT